TCTGTTTGCTTCAGCCTCTCATCTTCATCAGAGCAACTTCTAAAAGATCCAGAGAGACTCAAAATCATTGCACACCCGGACAAAGAGTTAAAAATCCATCCTACTGTCCACAGGAAAGACCTCTGTAGCAAGTTCCTCCAGGTTACTCCTTATGGAACCAGGAACAGTGAGTGGGTTCATTTCACCACCTTGCAGATATTAAAGAAAACATAAAGCTGGTTGTCTGCAGTAGACACTGCGGCCACTTGCCTTTCCTGTCGCCCAATTTGTGGTGTAATCCACTTGGATTAAAAACTCCTCTTCCTCGTGGAAGAGAGCGTCACAGAGAGAGAGAGAGATGAGTGGGGAGGGATTGGAGCAGGGGATTGGATGCAGGCTCTGTTTTATCAGAGAGGATTAGAGCAATTTCTGGAGACAGACTCCCCAGCAGCCAATCACAGCTGCTGTAGAGAGAAAAAAAAGCACAGGCTCAGTTTGGCTGCTCAAAGAGAGAAAGAGAGAGAGAGCAGCTAACAAGGCATAATGCCCCAACACACACACAGATAATCAGCTGATTGACAAAAACCCCCACACTCAAGCATTCACATAAATTACATTTTATTGACACTCTTTAAAGTCATGAAGCTAAACCAGACACACACAAAGAGACACACAGTCCAAGGTTTCACTCTACTGTCTGATCCAGATCCACCAAGACTTTAAACCTTCAGTAAGCTGATAAAAACCCACTTAGAGGTAAAGCTGCTGACCAATTACGGCTCACCATTATCTCACCATCGTCATCCCAACCCATCAACAACGTTATCTCCACAACTGGAAAAGGCAAAAAGAGGTGCAAATGTTACACCCCTGAAAACAGGGGGGAAAGAATCACGAGAGTGATTATGACTAGCGTCTCTCATGCAGTCGTTTAGAGGAGGAGAACGCGCGAAAGCCCCCTAGTGGAGAATAGAGACACTGCTAATCGATCCCAGAAAAGGCTTACTAGCCGATCAGTGATGTATAGATTGCAGTTCTCAAAATAACATGAAATCCATTAATATAACATGAAACATAATAACCTCTTAACCATTTTCTTACCATATTTACGTTAATTTCGTCCTTATATCAACTGATATGAATTAGTATTAACTGAACCCTTTTATATTCAGTAATCCTTAAACCTGTCACACTCTCCCCCACTCAAAAAATGTCGTCCCGACATACCAACAAGATGCTTTTCAGTCTATATTCTCTTGTAGTCAGGGCATCAACAGTAGAGTGAACCATTGTCCTCAATTCTATGGGTTTAACACCTGTTTCACCACAGTCCATCATTGGTGACTGAAGACAAAGTCTATAACCAGTCCATATGTGAGTCTTCACAAAGTCTTTTGTCTATGGTTATAATCCACAGATGGGAAAAGTTAATGTCTTTTTCTTGATGACAGTCTGTAGGTACAGTCTTCAAGTCCTCAGTGAAAAAGTGTCAACTTACATTTGCTGATGTCCATACAAACCAATGGGCTGGGTGCAGTATGACTGCACAACTGGAAACCATGGAACCAGGCCGGGTACACAGGAAGCAGTTGCGGTGCGGGCTGATTTCCGGGTGAGTCTGAACAAGATGCCATTGTTATCTAGCCTTAACTTACCCCACTCTCTGAACAAGCATTTTGTCTTAGGGTCAAATGTTCTGAACTCTTTGGGCAGTGGTTTTGAATCTGTTTACACTGTAATATGGTAAATGGACTGGTTCTTATATAGCGCTTTTCTACTCATCTGAGCACTCAAAGCGCTTTACACAACTTGTGCATTCACCCATTCAGTTAGTATCTTGCCCAAGGATATTTGGCATGCAGACTAGGTTAAGCCAGGAATTGAACCACCAACCTTCCGATCAGTAGATGACCTGCTCTACCACCTGACCTACAGGGGTGGCTGTAGCTAATTTGTGGTAATACAGGGCTTATAACAGGATCAGACTTTTGCGCTTCATTAAGCTGTTCTTTTGGTTTGGGTGTGAATGTTGCTTCTGCTGGCTCACCTTCTGCTGTGACTGACATTGCTGCAGCTGACAGTGTCCATGTGGCAGGTGTGTCTTTCTGTACCTCAATGGCCTGGATAGCAGCTGCGATAGTGTCCGGTGGCACTTCCTCAGAACAGTCTCTCATTAAGGTTTCTACATCAAGTGGCATTCTTGATAAAGCATCTGCGTCACTGTTTTTCTTTCCTGGTTTGTACTTAATGGTGAAGTGAAAATCAGCGAGCTCGGTGACCCATCTTGATTAGGGATGGGTATTGTTTAGGTTTTATCCGACATCAGTACCAAACCGGTACTTTTGAAACGGTGCCGGTGCTTAAACGGTGCTC